AAGACTTTTCCTCCATCAAATCTTTTTTTTTTTTTTAGTTGTAGATGGACAAATACTTTTGTTTATTTATTTTTATATGGTGCTGAGGATGGACCAGGGCCCCACACGTGCTAGGCAAGCATTCTACCACTGAGCCACGACCTCAGCCCCCCCCCCCCTTTTAATTTTTAATTTTGAGCCAGGGTCTCACTAAGTTACTCAGGTCCAATCCATGTTGTCTAATGGCATGAACTTGTGATACTCTGGTCTCAGCTTCCTGAGTAAGTGGCATTATAGGTGTGTACCACAGTGTCTGGCTGATTCAATCTTTTTTGAATATTTCATAGCATGTTATTTATATTTCTCATATAGCACTTACATATAAGTTGCCTTTTCTTTCTAGACAATGAATTCCTAGAGAGTAGGAGCTATGTCCTTTTTTATTTTTGTGTTCTAGCACCTATTAAAGTACATTTCACAGAGTAAATATACATTAAATTAATAGATGTCTTTGGAGTACAGTATGTCACTAACTCAGAACCTAGAATTGTTTTGTGTCAGCGTTGGGCTTTAAACCCCAGTTTCAGTTCCTTCTACTATACGGTAACATGTATAACCAGTTCTCTTCAAAGCCAATTGCCCAATTATGTATCAGAGTTAAGGGGCAGTAAGAGAAGATGGTTTGTTTTTCTACAAAGGGAAATTGGACTGTGTTGATGTTTATAAGTGTGAGGGACATTGCGTACTCAGCCCAACTTCCCCTTTTCTGAGAAATTCTTTCTCCATCAGTTTAGGAATCCAGTTGGCTCAGCCCTGCCACTCAGTGGGTGGTTTAATGTACTGTCAAGATCCTTTGTCCAAGAATTTTCTCAAACACACAAGCTTTTCTGAAGACTGGTATAGATGATTCTTAATTATAAGAAGATACTGATGAAGGAAATATAGTACTCATAACTGAGAGAAAGAAACTATATATTAAAACAGCTTTCTATTTTAAAAAAATCCAGAATAACAATCTACAGTACTTTCTTTGTTTACTCTCTTTTTCTCAGTTATAAAGCAATTGCACAAATATTTGATTCTCACTAAGGGACCAAGATAGTTTGCAGAAAGAAGTGCAAATGCTTAAGTGACTCACGCAGCTTGAACAAAATCCTATCTGACTTATGGTTCAAAGATCTTTCCACTAGTGCATTTCTGATTCTCGTGGGGATGGGGGGATCCTCTCTTTTGTAAAGCTTTCTGTGATTTCTTCAAGCACATATAATTCCCACCTTCTTTGTATTCTGACAGCATGTTGTACACACTTCTGTTTATCATTGATATTGATCATTTTGTCTTGTAGTGATGTGTTTACCTGTTTCTTCACATTAAACTGAACTCTTCAAAGATAGGATCTTTGTCTTATGACCTGGCATAATTTAGGGGCTTCAAAAATTCTAAAGAAATGTCAAAATTATCAATAAAATTATTTTTAGTTTGACCAGCTAATGTGTTAGTTATATAGCCTACCCCCTTGCTCATCCTGATTGTGGTTTTCTCTCCAATCCTGTTGGTATTCACCCCAGGCTATAGGCTTGGTTGTGATAGATAGAGGGCAGTACATTGCCCCATAAAGAGAAAATAAAACCATGACAGAAACTTTCTGTTTCAGAGGCTGTAGTTTTAGCAAGGAGCCTTTCAGTTTTGGGCTGGAGTGAGTTGAGGTGGGAGGGCAGGATGGAGAGACTTATTAACCTAATTTAAAAAAAAATATATATAGATAGATAGATAGATAGATAAATAGTTACTTAACAGTAGGAATAGAAGTTCTATATCAAAGACAAACCACACGAAACCCTTGCTATTAAAGACATTTGTTCTGGGGCTGGAGTTGTGGCTCAGTGGCAGAGCGCTTGCCTCACACATGTGAGGCAATGGGTTTGATCCTCAGCACCACATAAAAATAAATGAACAAAGATATTATGTCCATGTATAGCTAGAAAAATATATATATAAAATGTTGGTTCTAGTCTAGTCTTATGCCTTAACAAGAGCAGTTTCAAAATAAAATTTACAAAGGGCTGGGGAGGTCCCTTTCCTTTCTGAGAAGACCCACTCTCTCCCTTGAGGGTGTCCCCTTTCCCTTTTCCTGTCCCTTCAGTAAATTCATGCTTGTTATTAAAAAAAAAAAAGAAAGAAAGAAAGAAAGAAAAAGAAAAAAGAAGAGGGCTGGGGATTCAGGGATGTAGCTCAGTGGGAGAGCACTTGCTTACCCCTGAGTTCATTTCCCATTTTGGATTGGGGTTGGGGTTGGGGAAATCATTCCATGAACCAATAGCAGAGAATGATTCCACAATAGCTTTGATGGTAGAAGCAGAATCTAGTTATCCTTCCTGATTTCTCTTTCGCTTTCTCAAAGCCCACCCTCCATTTATAACCAGTTTTATCTCAGGAAACATATGTAATGTATTCCTTCCTACTAATTGTTGTGCAGATGGTGAATAATTTGGTTTGGAATTAGGCAAAAAAATTGAGAAACGCCTTTTATTTTCTAATGTTCTGCCTTTTTCCTCTTCCTTAGTTCTGGTAGTTTTCTGGCACTGGTTTTTAGAATTGTAATTGCTGGGCCATGGATATTATCTCTGTTTCCTTAAGAAGAAATGAGGGAAGGAACTTGCCATGAAATTATGAAGAGCTGGGTGGAGTTGGGGGGGGAGGTGTTTGGTTGATCTGAGAAATGGTGGAGGTAGACATAAGTTTAAGAAGTTTAGGGGAGGATCAGGGATGCCACTCAGTGGTAGAGCAGTTGTGGGAGGCCCTGAGTTTGATCCCCAGCACTTAAACAAACGAACAAACAAAAACATTAAAAAGTTCAGACCAAGGTAGAAATGCCTCACCCCCTTTTTTATCAAAATAATATAAAGTAATAAAAAATTATACAATGTTAAGTGTTTATACAAAACAATGCAGTTCTCAAACCCTTCTACTGAGATTCTCTTCTAGTTTGTTCAGCTTTTTCCCCCTTGTTCAGACATTTTATTTGAATTTGATAATGATGGTTAGTGATTTGATTGAGATGCCTTATAGAGAAGTAACCTCTCTTTCAGCTTTTTCATATGGTGTTTGCTTCATATTTCAAAGTAAAAAGTTTTCTTTCTTTCTTTTTTTTTTTTGAAACAGGGTCTTGCTAGGTGCCTTAGGGCCTTGTTAAATTGTCTAGGCTGGTGTGGAACTTGGGATTTTCGTGCCTCAACTCCTGAGTAGTTGGGATTGCGGACCTATGCCATCCTCTTTAAAAAAAAAATTTAGGAATATTGGACATATCTACCATATTTTGATTATAGACTGAAATTTTAACATTTGTTTTTTTCTTTAATTCTTCTTTTTTTTTTTTTTTTTTTTGGTAATCCTAGGGGTCAAGTCCAGGGCCTCTTACATGCCAGGCAACTGTTCTACCACTGACCTTATCTCATCTTCCCAATGGAGTTATATCATAGTTTTTGTTAGGCCAGTAGTGGCTGTTCATATTATTTTCACTATGTAAATAATATTCGGTGTGATGTCAAGTAGTGAATTTTGATTGTTTCATGTCTTGAACAGCCCTTTGTTTTTTATGAAGTTATAATAATTAATTTAGTTTACTATGCACCAATTCTATCAAATGCCTATTAATACTTTCTCTCAAATGGCCAACGTATCAAATAATCTTTTTTTAAATATTTTTTAATTTGTAGATGGACACAATATCATTATTTATTTTTATGTGGTGCTGGGGATCAAACCCAGTGCCTCACACATGCTAGGCAAGTGCTCAACCCCAGCCCTCAAATAATCTTAAGAAATTAATTATCCTTCTCCTGGAGGCTTGTCCCAATGCTCTACTAAATAACTTTTAGTAACCAGCGCCACCTGCTGACTATTGATGAAGTAGAAAAATCAGAATTAAGAGTCACATAGTTAGCCTTTGGGGGAAGTAGATAAGGCCTGTAATCCCATAGACCTGGAAGGCTGAGGTAGGAGGAGGATGGCAAGTTCAAAGCCAGCCTCAGCAATTTAGCAAGGCCTGAAGCAACTTAGAGAGGCCCTGTCTCAAATAAAAAAAAAAGGGGTTGGGGATGTGGCTCAGTAGTGCTTAAGCACCTCTGGGTTCAGTCCCTGGTACCCAAAACAAAAGTCACAGGGTTGGTGTTTTAACTGGTAAATATCATGGTTTCTGACCTTCTAAATGACATTCTGGAGAAAGGGATATGGACCTTATGTTAGGACTAGAGAGGAGAATATAAAAATAATTGAATATTCTCTTTCTTCCCCTTGCCTTATCATTGTACTCTGTTTTCCTAGAAAGAAAGTCTGTGTTCAGATATTTCTTTTCTAAGCCTTCTGTCTGATCCACCAAAGGAATAAGGAAAGGTGGGCTACCGTTTTTTAAAAATTACATTTTTATTTTCATATACTTGATATATGATAGATTATACATATTTAAAGGGTATAATTTCATTGGTTATCCGTGAAATGACTGCCACAATCAAGATAATAAACATTTCTGTCCCTCCCCAAAGTTCCTTTTGCCTTCCATTCATTTTCTCGCCCCCCCCTTCTTCTTCTTTATAACTTAGGTGCATTTTATTAGTTTTCTTCCAAAATCCTATGAAAGAGCAAAGTTAAGCGGGGTGCGGTGGTGCATGCCTATAATCCCAGCAGCTCAGGAGGCTGAGGCAGGAGGATCACAATTTCAAAGTCAGCCTCAGCAAAAGTGAGGTGCTAAATCATTTCAGGGAGACCCTGTCTCTCAGTAAAAAATACAAAATAGGGTTGGGGACATGGCTCAGTGATTGAGTACCCTGGAGTTCAATTCCCAGTACCAAAAAAAAAAAAAAAAGGGCTGGGGATGTGGCTCAAGCGGTAGTGCGCTCGCCTGGCGTGCGGCCCGGGTTCAATTCTCAGCACCACATACAAACAAAGATGTTGTGTCCGCCGAAAACTAAAAAAATAAATACTAAAAAATTCTCTCTCTCTCTCTTAAAAAAAAAAAAGAACAAAGTTTAAAACCAAGACACTGGCAAGCAGATGAGAATCCTTCCTCAGCCCAGAAGCTGTCCCCCATTCCCGTGTCCCCTAGTTGTGTCACTGCTGCAGTTCACAGGGGTGAAGCACTTGCTACTTTTGCCCATCATCAAACCCCACAGGGGAAAGAACTACTACCCATTTTCTTCATCCCAGCTCCACAAGCTGATCCAGGTGCAGAAAGCCATGGTAAGAACTATTGAGATCTAGCAGGAGTTCTGAACCCCAGAGGGCCAGAGTCAGGGCATAATCTGTAAAGAAAAGCACATCCTCCTCTGGCTTGGTGTCCCCTAAGAATAATGCTGGGCCTAGTACCTCACTCCCAGAAACCAGTTGAACACTGTTAGGTCAAAGAGGACCAGAGGCTTGGGTTCACTGGAAGCTGGTACAGATAGATGCAGTCAGATTTGAAAGGGCAGCGGCCACTCACCTCCCCCCCTCCCCCATGAAGAACCGACAGCCGATCTGGCTGTTCTGAGCCTTGAAATTTCTATTGAGCTGCTCCTTCTTGATTCTCCCCACCCCAGAGCTTGTGGGGAACCATGTAGCTGGAATGAACTTGGCCCTGGGGACATGCCCTGTATGACACTGACTTGATGACATCTAGTGGGAAGTCCTGAAGGTTCTTCTGCCAGGTATGTAGGCAGCCCAGGCAGTGAGCATGGGTACAGCTGAGCAGGATGCCAAACACCAGCTGAGCTTCTGGCTTGTCCCATACTTTATCCATGCAGATGCCACACACCACATCCCAACTGCCCTGCTTTCTCTGCCACTCCTCAAGGCTCAGGCTCTGAAGTAAGGCTGTCAGCTCCCAGACAAAGTCAGACTGTGGCTGAGATTACTGGAAGTGGCTGTGATGCCCATCAGCAGATGATAGAGATGGGCTTCCTGGAACTGCCACTAACCTCCTGCAGACCAGGCTCCATGTCCCAGCAGGTCCCAGCCCAGGCCCAACCTACAGCCATAACCATGGAAGGCAGGTAGGTGGACTTGGAGCCCCTGGGGGTGATGGGGTGGCTCTGAAATGCAGAGCCTTCCAGCTGGGGCTCTGGTGGGGTGATGTGTGGTTCTGAATGGCAGCGATCCTATTCTGGGGGATTAGGTGGCCTCAGGTGCTGACAGCTGCTTTGGTCTCCATGGAAGCAGAAGCCCTGCTGGAAGTACCTGCAGACCTGGGGCACCTTTCTGTCATAAGCATGGCAACTTGACCCCCAGTGATCATCCTTGAATGGCAGCTGGGAACGGGGCTTGTTCTCCCTACCGTGACTGTAGTCATCCTTCCCTGCAGCGTCCATCCCAGCTGCAGGTCCTGTGAGCCTCCATTCATTTTCAAACACCTATTGATCAGTTTGCATTTTATGTGATTTTATATATATAGAAACATAGAGCATGTTCTCTGTTTTGGTTTGGCTTTGCTGTATGGTTTGGATGTGGCTTGTCCCCAAGAGTTCATATATTGGAGGCTTTGGTCCTTAGTATGGCAGTGGTGAAACAGTGGGACTTTGTAGAGGTAGGTCCTTGTGGAATGTCTTTAGGTTATTGGGGCTTTGCCTCAAGAGGGATTAAAGTAGTTTTCCTGAGACCTGAGTTAGTTTAATCAGAGCAAATCACTCTAAGAGAGACCAACCTGGAATCTCTCTCTGGCTTCCTATGTCTCTCCATGTGATCTTGCCCTCTCATATTGCAGTCTCAGCATTGTGATGCCCTCTGCCACAAGTTCCTCACCAGAACCAAGCCAATGCAGGTGCCAGACCCTTGAACCTTCAAAATTGTGTTAAATAAACCTCTTTTCTTTATGAAGTTATCTAGTCTCTTGTATCTCACTAGAGTAATAGAAACAGAATACTACATGGTTTCTTTCACTGTGTTATTACTTTGAGATTCATCCATGTTGTTGTGTGTGTCAGGAGTTTATTATATTTTATTGCCAAGTATTCTATTGTACAGATTTATCACAATTGGTGTATTCTTCACTTGATCATGTGCCGCAGTCCGGCTGCAGCAAAATAATCAGGGGGGGTGACGAATAACTTGTGTACGTTGATACAGCAGGAGTGGGAGCCGTTTATTGCAGGACAGGAGCAGTATTTATACATTCCACACAGCTTATCTAATTAGCATAAACTAGATACATCAGTCAACCAATAAGGAATCTCCACACTTAATAGCTCGCTTTTGTTACTTCTCAAACCACTCCCTCTGGCATTTTGCCAGGCACCATCCAGACTTGTTTACGAACTCTAACATTCCCCTGGCAAAATGCCAGGTGTTATTTTTGACTTGTTTACAGACTCCAACAATCATGAACATTAGGGGTGTTTCCAGGTTTTGGTTATTACATATAAAATTATTATGGACATTTGTGTACAAGTTTTTGTGCAGACACACATTATCATTATTTCTGAGTCAAAACCCAGGAGTGGAATGTCTAGATTGTATGGTAAATTTCCACTTACCTTTTGAAAATAACTGCCAATCTGCCAATCTCTTTTACGAAGTGCTTGTGCCATTTTACATTCCCACCTAGTGTGTGAAAGCTGTACATCTTGCCAACATGTGATATTGTCAGTTTTTTAATTGTAATTTTTAAGTTTACAATGTTTTTTCATTATAGTTTTTATTGGATTTGCATTTCCCTAGTGACTACTGATGTTGAACATCTTTTCATGTGCTTTTTTTGCGCTATCTGTTTTAAAATACTTCATAGGTAATCGGGCTAATGCTTAAGTCTCAGTGAAGGATGAGTGTTACACAACAAGTGCCATGAAAAAATCTCATTCACCAGTTGACTATGACATTTTTTAAAATTCACTTGAAATTCCCATACCTGAGGGATAAAGTTACTCTTGAATTAAGAGCTCCAATACAAGAAGTTCTTTGAAATAAGTTTTGCATTAAAATGTGTATATCATTCCTAAATTAAGGGTCAGCCCAGAATAGAGTACTCCCTCTTCCCCATTTTCTTCCATTAGAACAGACTGTTTTCTAGAAGATTTGCTAAAGGTTATTTCAGAAAACACAGAATCTGTGCTTTAAGGGAATGGCTGAGGTCCTTAGAGAAGGATAAGTAGGGGATGAGGAATTGCATAGGAAAATGGAAATAGCAAACTTGTTAGGACACTTGTCTGGTAAACAATGGGTAAGTGTTCAGGGAAGTATTGTCAGGCAGATGGGACTGAGAGAAGATGGGGAGGATAGTGATGAATACATGCTTAGATCCCTGAGGGCAGGCCCCAGATGAAAGAGGACCTGAAGGGGGAACATGAGATCAGTCACTCAGTAAGATACTAACTATACAAGTAACCTTCTTCATAATTTTGTGCAGAGAAGCACCATTCTTAGAATACCTGCACAATGACGGCTTCTCTTCTCAGTCTTTTTCTAGGAACTAGATTCCTCCCACATTGGGCTTTTTCTCCTTTCCCAACTCTTGTTTTTTTGGATTCATATGAAAAAAAGAGAATGGCTTTTGTCATGGCCTCCACTGCCTGAGCTCTCTTTTTCTGCCCACCTCTACAACCAACATTTTAAATTGTTCTGTTTCCTTATTTGGTGTAGTGGTTGATAGTTAAGTTTCTGAGCTGGGTTCAGTGGCTCAGATGTGTAATCTCAGCAATTTGGGAGGCCGAGGTAGGACAATCACAAGTTTAAGTCTAGCTTGGCAAGACTTTCTCAAAATTAAAAAAAGGGGGGATTTTGGGGGCAACTGGGGATGTAGCTCAGTGGTAGAGCACTCCTGTGTTCAATCCTAGTACTGCAAAAAAGGAAGAAAAAGTTAAGTTTCTGGATTCTAACTGCCTGGATTTAGTTTCTGGCTCTGCTATTTATTAGCTATGTAGCTGAGGGAAAGTCAATCATCTGTATCTCTATTTCCTTACGTAAAAATTGAGAAAAGAGACAGGTGTTGTGGTGGTGCATGCCTATAATCTCAGCAGCTGAGGAGGTTGAGGCAGGAGGATTTCGAGTTCAAAGCCAGCCTCAGCAACTTAGCAAGGAAGGCCCTAAGCAAGTCAGTGAGAACCTGTATCTAAATTTAAAAATTTTTAAAAAGGGGTGGCGGCTGGGGATGTGGTTCAGTGGTTAAAACGCACCCTTAGGTTCAATACCCAGTTCAAAAAAATAAAAATTGAGAAAATACTACTACTTTCCTTAGAGAGTTATGTGAATTTTGTTATTATTTTTGCAGTGCTGAGGTTGGAACCCAGCGCCTCATACATATTACATATTAGATAATACCCTAACACTGAGCTTCATTCCCAGACCTAAATGAATTAATATTTTTAAAGTGTTTAGAACATTGCCTGGCAGAGTTTCAAGCTCTCAGTAAATGTTAGCTATTAGTCAGATTTTAACTGTTTGACCCCACTTTCTTTTCTTTTTTTGTTACTGGGGATTGAACTCAGGGGCACTCAACCACTGAGCCACATCCCCAGCCCTATTTTGTATTTTATTTTAGAGACAGGATCTCACTGAGTTGCTCAGTGCCTCGCTAAATTGCTGAGGCTGGCTTTGAACTTAAGATTCTCCTGCCTCAGCCTCCTAGGCCGTTGGGATTATCGGCATGCACCATTGCACCCATCTTTGACCCCACTTTCAAGGTGCTTCATAACCTCTATCTAAACTTCTATCCCATTACTCCTGTCTATTTCACTTGAATTTTGCTGTTTTCCTCACCAAATCATGAACCTATGCATAACTTCCAAGTGGAAAGCCCTCAACAATTCAAATCCTACACAGTCTTCAATGCTGTCTTTATAAGCCATCTCCTCTATTACCTTTTACTACTTCTTATTACTTTGATTCTTATCAATTATCTTCCCATCTGAATTCATAGCACCACAGAATTGAATGAAGAATCACACACTCATGATTCCTTCGTGTGAATCAGTTGATTCTCCAATAGCTTATAAACTCAAGGAAGATAGAAAAAACAGCTGATAACTTCTGAGCCCTCTTTCAGTGGAGTGAATACATTTTCTTTATTCCATTTCATGAAATCTGTAGAGAGGTTCAACAAAGCAACAGAGGGCAGTCTGGGAAATTTATAGCTTTAATAGTAGATTGATTGGAAGTGGGGTGATAGCTTCTGTCCTAGCTGTGCCATTCTCTAAACGTCAGCTTTCTTCACCTAAGGTCCAGACAATGCCCACTTCATCTATGAACAAAGAAAATAGAACACACTTTATCCATATATATATATATATATATTCATTAAATAGAATAGTTTCCTCAGATATTTTCTCTTGAATTTCTTTTGGGTAATGGTCATGTTTTTCTCTTTCAGTTCTTGCCTCTTAGAAATCTCAACCTTTAAATTCTTTACTGGCCTTTAGCACCCCCATAATGTCTAAGCTTATAGGAGTGATCTCATGAGTAGATGGATTGGAATAATCTGCTTACTCTAAGTGGGACTGGGAAAAATGGTGAGGAGCCCCTACAGAGATCTGAAATGCAACAACCTTGCCAAAAATCCTTATTCTGTGATCATGTCAGCCTCACTGGAGCTTCATCTGACTGGATAAATGTCACTGTTCCATGTATCTCCTAGTCCCCACTGTTTCCTTCAGCAATTCTTTGTGTTATTCCATGACAACATTTATTCCCAAATAATTTCTAAACTAGTCATGGGATTGCTGGCCTACTTACTGAATGCAAAACCACAGAACAAAGAGTCCTGAAAGAAATGAGGTTAGGAAGGTTGCTGGGGAGAGAGGAGCCCCTGCATCTGAGGGGAAAAGATGCAGCTTCTCTAAGTCTGGCAGGAAGGCTCGAGCATCCTCCAGAGCTGCCTGAGCCGTCACAGTAAAGTTGGGGTCACCAGAGATGGAAACATCAAAGACACAAGATTGGAAGTAAGCATCTTCAACTGGAAGCCCTTCCTTGCACAGCTGTCTGGCAGTATCTACAGTTATTGCTCGCCGGCGGTTGCGCTCTAAGCGAGAGAGTCTCTGACTTGGAGGGCACCCTCCAACACAGAGCTGCAGGTCCTGTTCAGCTGAGAAGGCCCTGGCCACATCTTCTGCTACCTTGATGGAGAAGGAAAGCTGCCCAGCTGTCTGCCGAATGATTATTGTTGTGCCAATATAGGCAGCTCGGATCTCCACATGGCTCCCAGGGTTGGCAGTTTGAATGGACAAACTTGAGCCCCCAGGCCGGACACCTCCATTGATAGAACCATCTTCAAAGGCTGCAGGAAGATTGTCCACCTCAGCCTGATAGACCTTCTGATCAATGCATTCCTGCATGTTCTTAAATATGATGGTAAGCTGTGAGGGCAAGAGGGAAAAAAGAGTTCATTTGGGGCTCAATGCATCCTCCCCACCATCAGACCTTACAGACAGTCAGGGATCTGACTGGAGCAGAGATGCAAGGTAGCCCCAATCCTAATCCCTTCTATTATGTTCCACCATTGCCTCATCCCTACTCAGTCTTTCTGTCACAACCTCAACAACTACCAAAGAGAAGAAAAGTATCCCTTCTGAAATTCCTCAGCTCTGCTACCCCCAGTTTTCTCTTCAGTGTTTCCTGCATTTAATTTACGGAAAATTAATTTACAGGAGCAAATGTCTGGTAGGAGGAAGTGATTCAGGATGGGAGAGTGGTTGGCGAGGAAAATAGGAGCAATTCTGTGAAATAGTAGGGATGGGGAGGAAGTGTACCCTGGGTGACCGTGAGAGGATCTCAAGAAATGGAAGCAGGGCGGCGGGGAAGGGGGATTGACTCCCTGACCTTCCGTGTGGTGGTAGCGTTGGCCCCCGATGCCACGGGGGAGCTGGTGGCCTGAACAAAAAGGAAGTCATTATCCAGCAGGGGCCAAGCTCCTTGGACACGGCACGTGTGAAAGTGGTGGTGGAAGCTGCGCACGTGGGGGTCTCCAAAGGAGGCGCAATGCAAGAAGCCCGGGGGACGGCCGTGCAGCCGCGAAAACCGGCCTTCATAGTCACAGGGGTCTGGGGCTGGGGGGCCAGGGCCAGCGCCTGGAAGGGCGGGGCCCCGGGGTGGAGGAGGGGCCGTAGGGCCCTGGCGGGAGCAGTTGTGCTGGATCATTAGGTCTTCTATTCCGTGCACCGCTGAGTGGAAGGCCAGGTCCCCACGGCAGGTGCGGGCAGTCCGGCGAGTGCAGAGCGCGTAGGAGCGGAGGGCTCGGCAGAAGCCGCTGGAGCCCACCCCTCCACCCCGGCCTCCTCCTCGAAGGGCTCCTGGTGAACCCCCACCTCTAAGGCTTAGGGTGGATGATACATATTCAGCATTGCAGCGGAGGATCTTGCACTGAGAATGAGCTGAGGACAAGAAGGGAGACGATTGTGAGAAGGTCCCCAGAGGCCCCTCTATCAGTTATGTTCTTAACTCCCCCAAATATAATCAAGGAATTCCAGTCGGTCCTATAACCCAATTAAAAGCCTTCCCCAGCCCCCAACCCTCAGCTCCCTAGGCCTGTCCTCTTTCAGGGTAAGCCGTTAGATCTCTTCTCCCTACCAGCCAAGGGACCTTCTCCAAGTTGAATGGGAAATAAAACATGCCTATCTGAGAGTGGGGCAAGTGTCTGGGACTCAGTACCCACTTCTCCTCACTCACATGCTTACATGCCCACCCCTACATAGCAGCCTACCCTCTAGATTCCCCCAAACCCTTCCCTGGCCCTTCCTTACCATGTCCACAGAGGAGCAGCAGGAGAGTGAGAGTGCTTAGAGTTGGGGGACTGCCATGGGGGGGTCGGGGACTAGGGGACTGGCCTGGGTCCCCCATACCTATCCAGCCAGGTCCCCCCCAGGCGCTGGTTCTTCCCAGATGATGACCCTCCTACCTAGTGAATTTTGACAGGCGGTCCTGTAAGTGACTGGAAAAAGAAATTTGGCTGGGCATGGGGAAAGAGAAGAGTTGGAGATTGGTCAGGATGCTGTGAAGAGGATCTGGGGAGAAGAAAAGGGTGAGCAGGTTGGAATTGGGGGAAATGAGGTTCCCCAAACCATACATGTGGCTGGTAAACTCTGTGCCTTGCTCCCAAGGCCATTTTCAGGTCCCTTGTGCAATCAATACTCCTAAGTGGGGGAGGGAGGTGCAGTGAACTGGTGGGCAGAGTCCACTGTGTTGCCCCATCCTGAACTACCAAATAGCAGATATGTAAAAATCGAGGAATCATGGGGACCAGTCAGATATCAATCATCCTAGTGGGCTCTCCAATAGAATTAGGATCTGAAAGTACTTCTGAAACATACCTCTTGTTTGTCCCCCAAGAGAAGACACCCTCCAGGAGTCATTCATCTCTTTTCCTCCTTTGTGTCAGAAGAACACAAAAAGGAGAAAGGTGGAATACCTATGCCTTCTAGAACATCAATATTCAAATGTAAAGGGAACTGGTCTCTTTCATCTGCTCTAGAGTGTTACAATTATAATCTCTTTGGAGAACAATGGAATGCAAACCAAGCATGCAAATATATTTTTTTCTAAGTCAGTACTTGTATTGTTCCAAAACTAACTGAAGAACCACTCTTTCCATTATTCTCCCTTTCACAAAGTCAGAGGTTCCTCATCTTTTAAGGAAGACAGGGATTTGGAAGGACCTAACTCCTTCCCTCCCTCCTGCCCAACTGCCCTCTTTTGTGGTAAAAATGATTGCGGGAAGAGTCCAAAAGAGGTAGAATGAGATAGAGGGATTAGAGTTGTGAGGAGAAATAATTTACAACAAGAAGCTCCACCCTGGGAAGCCCAACAAGGAGGGCATTGCTGAGTAGGTAGGGTAGAAGAATGTCAGTGACTGATCATCTGATTACCCATTTGGCCTTGGTGAGAAGAGTACAGAATAGAGGGTGTAGGGAACTCCTAAAACTTCAAAGTCTTGAAGTGAGTTTTGGGGTACAACTCAGTGGTAAAGTGCATGCTTAGCTTGCGCAAGACTCTGGGTTTGATCTGCTAGCACTACCACAAACTAAACCAAACCAAATCAAAATAAACAAAAAACCAGAAATCCTTAAGGTATCACAGGTAAAGAGGGAGCTAAGACTTCCAGAGGAGAGACAAGAGTATTAAACTTCAAATGGTGGGAGATCAGAGACCAAAAAGAAATGAGACCAGAGAAAGGGAGGTTGTGGCACCCTTGGTAGGGAGAGATCCTAGCTTTGGGACTGCAGACATACAAGAAGCTATCTGTAATTCTATAAAAGTCAATCCAAAAGCGTGCTAAAGCAGTTGCGATTCCATTTTGACTTACTGTTTCCAGAGGTCAAACATTACTCTGCTATCCAACTCTCCTGCCACGGTTGCCTATTCTGTCAGTCTGCTGCAGCCAGGGGGTCCCCTGTCTCTTTCTCCATGCTCCCCATGTTCCCCAGACAGGCTACAATCTCACTGAGGTCAGGGAGTCAGTCAGAGAAGGTTTGGTGTTGGGGGAAGGGGGAGTATATGGCTGGCCAGAATATTGGACAGCTGAGCGGGGGAGGGAGGTGGCTACTGAGTTGACAGTTTTAAAAATAGCTAAGTCCAAAATTCCAGGAACGTGGGTGGCAGTAGGGTGTGGGAGTGGGGGCAGTGAGGAGGGTAGGAATATTGGACAGAATATGGAGTACTGGGTGCCGGGTAGGGTAGGGAATAGAGAAATAAGTCAGATATCCAACTCCAGCATATGTGACTCTATAGTCACTGCCTACTCCAGGCAGCCCTCCAGCATTCTTGATAATGAACTCCTGGCCTTTATAGTGGGCAAGTAGGGTACCTCTCATTTCCCACCCTCATCCCTGCTACGTTGAATATTACACTTAGTTTCTATATATAGTAGCTCAGGGGTAGCTGACTTTAAAGATCACCAGCATAAGTAGTTCACAGCCCCTCCCCCATCCTTGCAGAGTATTTCAGAAACTAAAAAAGCCAGCTGTCCAGAGAAGAAATCGGATCTCTGAGTTGTTTAGGATGAGGGTTTGTTCCGTCTATCCAGTTCAGATCCTTGCAGCTGTCTATCGCCCTACTTCTTCCATTTTCATTACCTTAGTTTGGATAGCAAGTCCTTCTCCCTCCCCAGTCAGTCCAAAAAGTAAGCTGCTGAGTTATTGGGAAAGAAGGCTGACAAAGCCATGGGGGTGAAGAAGGAATAGAGAAAAAACTTTTGAAGGCTACTGATCCACAGGGGAGGGGAGTTGGAGAGATAACTGAGAGAAAAAGATTTAGAAACATGTTTTGTAGAATAACATAATCTTGAGACATTTTAAGATATTACCACCAAGGAATTTAGCCATGTTATGTTTTTACAGCCATAGGCATAGCTGGATCATTAACTTATAGTACTGGCCAAGTAAAATTAACACAAGGATTGATTGCAGATAGTGTCACTAATGCATCTGTACATCTGTACCAGTCCACTCTACATTTAATTCAAAATCTTGAGGCCCATACAAATACTCTTCTCAGATATACCCACATACATACACATTTTTATGGCAAACTTAGTTTTTCTCTCAACCACATGAGGCCATATCAAAGAGAAGTTTATTTAAAAATGTAAAATTCCCCCAACCCAATTAATCAAGTGACTTTTTTTTTTTTTTTTATACTGGGGATTGAACCCAGGGGGCTTTACCACTGAGCTACATCCCCAGCCCCAGCCCTTTTTATTTTGAGACAGGGTCTCACTAAGTTGCTTAGGACCTTGCTAAATGTTTAAGGCTGACTGTGAACTTGAGATCACCCTGCCTCAAGGATGGGATCATATGCTTGTACCACTACACCTGACTTGAGGGACTTTAAAACAGTAGTTTGTTACATATAAAGTGAGAGATTTTTTTTTTTTAATATCTTTTTTTTTTTTTTTAGAGAGAGAGAATTTTTTTTTAATATTTATTTTTTTTAGTTTTGGGCAGACACATCTTTGTTTGTATGTGGTGCTGAGGATCGAACCCGGGCCGCACTCATGCCAGGCGAGCGCACTACCACTTGAGCCACATCCCCAGCCCCAAAGTGAGATATATTCTAATTACAAAAATAAGTGCAGAAATATTTTTAAATACTCATTAGTGGTAATATTGGTATTGTTCTGAAACTATTGTGAGATAAAACAAATGGGTACTAATGTTGGTATTTTTGAGAATCAGGAATTAAAGATAAAGAGGTACTGATTTATGTTGATGAAGTTAAATGAAAACTCTATAATTTAAAATTTAAATTGCAAGGCTAATTGAGTTCATGCTATATTTTATCCAAAATGTTTTCTTTGCCTTATCTTGAAAAGAACAAGAAACAATGACCCAATAATAGCAATGAATGCCTCCAGTGTCCAGATGGTGATATTTAAACACTATCTCCCAGTATTTCCTACTAAAAGGGATTCTAGGACTCCTTGGAGAAACAGCTGATTCCAGATTTGGAATTGTCCAAGATAAACTAAGAAAAATACAATATAATATAATTTTAATAGTTTTTTAAAACTATTTTTTTAAGTTTTTAAAAATAATTCAGGAGGCAACTAGAATACAATAGTTACTACCAATCAAAGATGAGACAATTTGATTATCAAAATGGATTGAGACACTTCAAATACATTTAAATCCATGAGTTCACAGTGATACTTACAAATATAAACTCATTGATCATTTTTGGAAAATATTAGCAGATCATCTCATTATTTTGTAAACTGCTAGTATTTGGAAATAATCAAGTTTTTATCCTGTTTTTCTTATGAGAACCATATCGGAAGATGATAGGAAAATTTCTCTTTATCGAAGTATTCCAGAAGGAATAACATAATTAGAATACCAGCATTTATAACTCTTAAATGAATTAGTATATCTAGGTTATGAGCAACAATGGCTATTAATTCATCACAAAAAGAGAGGCAAACATTATGTCCTCCTGATTATAGGTGCAGTTCATAACTCCACCTTGAGTGAAGTAGTAGCCTTGCAAAAACAAAACAAATTAAAAAAGACTTCAGTCTGAATTTGATCAACCCCTAGTCTAGAGCTGACTAGTAATTCACAGGAAATTCTGGAGACATCAAATGGCATCTCAGAGGTTCAAATTCATATTGGGAGAATAGTATACAGCACAAATGACCTGGATTCTTAAAACAAAACAAAAAACCAAATTTGAGACCTCAAACAACTGCAGAATAATGGGCTTTATTTGATCCTAACTCAAGAAAGCAAAATGAAATTATGAAACAACAGGAAATTTGAATGCTGATGAATATTTACCTCATACTTGATGATTTATAAGAAATTGTTGGTTTGAGTCCAGCGATATAGCTTAGTTGGTAGAATGCTTGCTTTACATGCATTAAGGCCCTGGGTTCAATTCCTGGCACCCCCCAAAAAAGTTGTTGGTTTGAAAAATGGTGCTTTTTTTTTTTTTTTTAAAGAGATAATATATTGAAATATTACAGATGAAAAATTTGCTTCCAAATAATCTGGGGTAAGGAAGAAGTGGGTGGGGTAATAATAAATAAGATTGAAACCTAGAAACATGAAATTAATAATTGTTGAAACTATCAGCAAAATGAAAACAAACTGACAGGATGGAAGCAGATTATTCTGATATTTTTCTAGATCTTTGAGTTATATATCAAATCTAGGGCTGATCATTCCACACTTTCTTAAATCTGCCTATGAGATTCACAATAATCTTCCTCACACTGTAATCATCAATGATTTCAAATACACCAATGTAATCATGGACAATGACTTTGGAGCATAGCCTAATAAGAACCTCGTGTTTGCCTCCCTTTTTGGAATTATTGGTTTCTTGAAAGCATCAGCCAAGGCATTCATGAGCTCTGTTATGGCAGCATGGAAAGATGGTGGAAAGAGCTAATATATATTCACATATAAATATATGTAAAGAGTTAATATATTCATATCTATGTATATATAAACACAAAAAATGCACACATGCATACTTTCAGAAGAGAGGGTATTTGGTAATTTTTGTGATTGCAGAGTGGGTCTTGACTTGATCATTGAGAACCCAGTTTTAGGGCTGGGGATGTGGCTCAAGCAGTAGCGTGCTCGCCTGGCATGCGTGCAACAGCACCACATACAAACAAAGATGTTGTGTCTGCCGAAAACTGAAAAATAAATATTGAAATTCTCTCTCTCTAAAAAAAAAAAGAACAAAACAAAAAAAAAACAACAAAAACTTGCAGCTGACTGGCACCTGATCCCCCAACCTAAAGGGTCAGCTGCAAGTTTCTTTAAAAAAAAAAAAAAACAGTTTTAGGGGCTGGGGTTGTGGCTCAGTGCCTAGCATGTGTGAGGCATAGGGTTTGATTCTCAGCACTGCATATAAATGAAATAGAGGTCCATTGAAAACTAAGAAATATTTTTAAAAAAGAAATAACCAAGTTTTAAAGAAAAGAAATACACACACAATCCTTTGTAACCCCTAAAACAATGGTCTTCTGAAAGATTGTTCCTATTTTTTTGATCTGAGCAGAATCATAATAGGATCAATTTTGTATAAATGTCTAGACCTGTTTTTTTGTATTTTGTATAAATGTCTAGAAATGTCTATCTAGCTAGAGCTCACACTTTTCAGGCAATCAAACCTTGTACATAAGGATAAAAATCAAAGAACTGTCAATAAATGCAGCAACTTTGATATTTCTATTGTATTTTTCTAGAAGAGAATAAAGAGGATTACAGAGATTTGTGAAAGAATAAGCTTTGCTTCATGATTTCTGTTCCTCACTTAAAAAAAATGCTGGACTATGAAAACTAAACTGGTAACTTGAAAATCAACTACTTGGCATATATTTTAAGACAATTGTTCAATATAAGAAGGCTGAGTTTGGAATAGGTAAGACTGGTTTTTTTTTGAAATATGGAATAAATTATACTAGTAATAATTACCAAACTTAGACTTCTATTCTCAGATAAACTATTGTTATATGGATTTAAATATAAGTAAAACATGTTCAAACAAACCAAAAGTTGAAGGCATTTTCCACCAATAGATCCTTTTTTATTAATTATTTTAAAAATTTATTTTAATTCTAGTTAGTTATACATGACAGTAGAATGCATTTTGACACATTATACATAAATGGAATATAAGTTCTTATTCTTCTGGTTGTACATGATGTAGAGTTACACCAATCTTGTAATATTACATGCACATGGGGTAATAATGTCCTATTCATCCTACTATCATTCCTACTCCTAAACCCCCTCCCCTACTTTCACTCCTCTCTGTCTAAGACAAAGTACCTCTATTCTTCCTTCCCCCCCACATTGTGAATTAGCATTTGCATACCAGACAAAACAATTTTGCTTTGGTTCTTTGGGATTGGTTTATTTTGGTTAGCATGATATTCTCCATCTCTATCCATTTACTGGAAAATGCCATCATTTCACTCTTCTATAAGGCTGAGTAATATTACA